TGACTCCTCTGCTGAGATGAACCTCCTGTAAGGCGGGGACAGTACCTATTGATATGACCTAAATCTCCACACTAAGCAACCTCTCCCTGCAAATGGCGGTGGGGACTGAAGGGAGCCCCGAGCATCGGGATAACCGCTAGAAGGCCTCGGTATAGAAGAACCCTGAGCTTATGGTACATGAGTCAAACTCTAAGCTGGGAGGGCACTGAGAGATGAGTGGCCCTGCTGAGAACTGTGAGAACTATGGCCAGATGATGCACTACGGTGAACTGGACGAGCCGTCTGAGCATTCCTGAGGGACGACCCCTGCCGTGGTGAAACTGACCTCCAGAAAGAACACCCCCAAAACTACCTGATCCACGAGACCTCTTGGCCTCCCTCTCAACCTGCTCCTGGCTGCGTACCGACTCTATCTCCCGAACAATGTAACAACCTTATCAAAAGTAGCGCCAAACACCCTCTCTCTAGTCATAAGCACCCGCAAATGGAATGTGAGGCCATCAATAAACCTCATGATCCTCTCATTATCTGTGGGAACCAACCAAACAGCATGACAGGCTAACTCAGGAAACCTCATCTCGTACTGCATCATAGTCATATCATCCTGACGCAACCTCTCGAACTGTCTGCGCAGCTCCTCTCTGCGAGACTGCGGCATATACTTCTCCAAGAAGAGAACGGAGAACTCCTGCCATGTAAGGGGCGTTGTACAAACCGGACTACGCCTCCCATAAAGTAGTGAACGAGACCCCACTGGTCTCCAGAATACCTGTCGTATGGAGGATCCTCTGACACTTATCCAAGAAACCATGCACATCCTCTCCCTCTGCACTGCTGAAAGATGGAGGCTAGAGTCTCACAAACCTCTCCAATTTACGCTGCTCATCATCAGGCATGACGGGGACTATATAATCTTGAGCAGCTGTAACCGGTTGGGCTGGTGGTGCCCCCGATGTCTGGATTCCCTGTATCACCTGCTCTGGTGTGCGGGCGGCAGGAGTCTGAGTACCTCCCTCGGCCTGGGAAGTAGTTGCTGTAGTAGAAACAGAGACCGCCTAAGCAGGACTGGTGCACACGGTCATAATCAGAGCTAAGGCCTCCTAAAGGCCTGGGATTACGATGGGCACAGCTGGTGCCTGAGCTGGTCCCGCTGGTGCATTTACAATTGGGACCTGATCCTGAACTGGGGCAACTGGTGGATCTGCAGGTGCTGCCCTAGTTGCTGTGCAGGCACCTCTGCCCTTACCACGGCCTCTACCGCGACATCGACCTCTCACGGCTCCGACTGGTGGCATTGGTGGCTATCCGTCCTGCCCAGTAGCACATGTCCTCACCATCTATGGGAGAATAGAATAATAGAAGTTTAGTTACCAGAATCAATAGATTCGAACTCTGAAGCCTCGATCAGCAACCGCCGCCGTGACCGAAATCGCCTGGATATGCACACGAGGTACAGGGAGTAAAGTGAGTACATCCAACTCAGTAAGTAATGAGTCCAAACTTTGGACTGAAAGGTAGTGACGAACTCAACCGGTACAAAAAAAAATAGAAATAACTGTGCAGAAATGTAGTATTCTTTCAAATTAAATAGGCAGCTCAACACAGTAAAGTAAAGCAGGTCTGAGCAGTATAAAGAATATAACTCTACTACTGTATGTGATGCACCATCCTGTCAGCCTCATGTGCTCACACTCTCAAATGCTCAACTACTCGGTACTGTATATGGCCCATACGGCCCAGGAAAGATCCAACCCGGAATATATACATCACTGACTATATGTAACCTAGTACCGAGGAAGGCCAATCCAACCCTGTGGAGAAGATCCATCTCCAGGTATCAAGTACTTCGGACAAGATCCATGTTCAGGGAAGATCCACCCCTCAATAATATCAACCGCTCATCGGGGTGTGTACAGACTCCGAAGGGGCTCCTACAGCCCAAGAGCTATCACAAATCAATATAACTGCTGCAGCGTGTAGCCCGATCCCATAACTGCCACTCATAATCAGGCTCTCGGCCTCCTTCAGTCATCAATCTCTGCAGTCTCACTCAAATGTCATGAAAAACTAGCCCGAACAATGATGTGATGTATTAATAAATAACAACTGAGACTGAGATATGATATGAAATTCATGTACATGACTGAGTACGAAATATCAATGAAATCAGTAAGATGACAGCAAGAAACGATCACTATGGGTCCCAATAGTACCGGCATAAAGCCTAAACATGATATCTAGCATGATTGACAGCTTAATACTTTATCACATGGTGAAAAAACGGATATCAACAAGATAGAGTCACTGTATAGTGCCATGGAATCGACTAGGTCACAATTCTCATGGTGCACGCCCGCACGCCTGTCACTTGGCATGTGCGTCACCTCAATACCAATCACATAACACATAATTTGGGGTTTCGAACCCTCATAGCTAAGTTTGAAAGCGTTACTTACCTCAATTCGGGCAAAATCCTACTCCGCAATGCCTTTGCCCCTCAAATCAGCCTCCAAACGTCCCGAATCTAGTCACAAGTAGTACAATACAATCAATAAAGGCTAAAGGGATCAATTCCACAAGAAACCTACTAAATTATAACGAAAATCCAAAATTGGCTCAAACCCGGCTCCCGGACCCACGTCTTGAAATCCAACAAAAGTCACAAAACCTGATAGCCTATTCACTCACGAGTCTAACCATACCAAATTTATCAAAATCTGACATCAAATGGTCATCCAAATCCCCAAAATTCATTCTCCAAATCCCTAGCCACAAACCCCCAAATTTCACCTCAACACCACACAATCTAGGTGGGAAAATCAACGGGGAAACAAGGTTTATGATAAAACAAACGAGTACAAGAAGCTTACCTCAATAATCCCCTCGAAAATCCTCTCCAAATCGCCTAAATCCGAGTCTAAAATGTTGAAATAAGACTAAAATCGTGAACCCTTGATTTTAAACATTCTGCCCAGGCTTTTCGCACCTGCGGCCCTCTATCCGCATCTGTGGTAAAATCCCCGCTTCTGCGGAAGTCACTTACCCCAGCTTTCTTCGCTTCTGCGGTCACTGTACCTTATCTACGCATATCGCAGGTGCGGAAATCACATCGCACCTACGGATCCATACTCGCATCTGTGTCCCACTGTCCGCTTCTGCGCCCATCGCAGGTGCGGGAAAGTCTTCGCACCTGTGACCTCTGCCCATCTCGTCCTTCGTCGCATCGCAATCTTTGCCATGCTTCTGCGGGCTCGCACCTGCGGTGCCTACTCCGCAAGTGCGATTACACCAGTAGCAGCAGCACTTCAGCTACATTCCTCAACTCAAAATCGAGTCGTTAGCCACCCGAAATCACCTTGAGGCCCTCAGGACCTCTACCAAACATACGATCAAGTCCCAAAACATCATACGAACTTAGTCGAATCCTAAAATCACCTCAAACAACATCAAAAACACGAATTATACACTGTCTCAAGCCTAATGAACTTTGAAATTTCCAAATACAAACGACGCCGAAACCTATCATATCACGTCATTGACCTCAAATTTTGCACACAAGTCATAAATGACACCACGAACTTACTCCCATTCCAAAAAATTAAATCCGACCCCGATATCAAAATTTTCACTGCCGGTCAAACTTTTCAAAATTCCAACTTTTGGCATTTCAAGCCTAATTCTACTACGGACCTCCAAAACAAAATCCGGACGCGCTCCTAAGTTCAAAATCACCTAACGGAGCTAACGAAACCATCAAAATCCAGATCCGAGGTCGTTTACACATAAGTCAATATCCGGTCAACTTTTCCAACTTGAGCTTTCAAGTAAGAGACTAAGTGTCTCCATTCAATCTGAAATCACTCCGGAACCGAACCAACTAACTCGGTAAGTCATAATACAACTGTAGAATACAAAAGAAGCAGTAAATGGGAGAACAGGGTTATAACCCTCGAAACGACCGGCCGGGTCGTACATAATGGTAAAGAATTCTTCCCAATATTTTCTTCAACAATAACACACTTTTTCATATGTAAGAGAATAAGAGTACGTTTGGCCATAAAAAAAATTCACTTTTTTTGAATTTTTTCTTCTTCTTTTTTCCCGAAATCAGTGTTTGGCCATAAAAATTTTAATTTTTACTTGAAGATGAATTTTGGAATTTTTAAAAAATTTGAAAAACTCCAAAAAACTATTTTTCAAAATTTTCACTCATATCACTCATAAAAATTTAAAAACAACCCAAATCTATATTCATGTCCAAATAAACAACAACAAGAAAAAACATACCAAGTCTTATTTCATACTGTGGGGTCTGGAGGGTAGTGTGTACGCAGACCTTACCCATACCTTGTGAGGATAGAGAGCTTGTTTCCAATAGACCCTCGGTTCAGGAAAGTATAAGCACCACATTAATGAAAATATAGACAAGAAGGGACAGTACCAAAAAGCCAAACACAACTATAATTTTCAAATACTATATTCACTTGATTTCCCCCCAACTTTTTTCCTGTATTTTACAATTCTTATGTCCAAACGCTCACTAAATTACTCTGAGGGAAAGACAATAAGCAAATCCGTAGAACTTTCCAATACATAAACCATGGCAAGTTAGGATTAAGACTCGATCGAGCTTTCCTAGTCTCTTAATGATTTGTGAAAGTAACAGTTAAATACCAATTAATTGGACTCTTTTCTAGTCAAACTAGATGAGTATTGCCCGTGCTATGCACGGGCCCAACAATTATACAAGAGTCCAATAATTTGAGTCTAATTTTGATCGAGAGTCTAATAATTTGAGTTCTGATATAATTTTGACTGTGAATGAACGCATATTTATACGTGATTGCAACTATAAATAGCAATAAATTATTTAAAATAACCATATCACAGACAAAAAGACAGTTTCGTTCTCAGTAAATAGTGAGAGACATAGAAAACCATATGTACCTCCCCAACGGCCCAGCGTGTGTAGAACCGAGCAAATATTTCATTTTGTTGTGCTTTTCTTTTAAAATCAATTACAAAATCAAATCCAAGCATATGACTAATTGTTCATTTCCCACCTATCATTATATACCACATGATTAACCAGATGTATTATGTTGATATCATGGCGATATCACCTATGAAAAATAGAAATTACGTAGTCCAGTTAAGAAACATATAGAGTATTGCAAGGATTTGCACATTGCTGAAAACATCTGCTACTTTGTATTCTTCCGGATCTCTATCATGAGAGCTTGCTCCTATTCTGATAAAATAATAAGATATTAAATATTCTTAATAGAAAATATTTACTACTACAAGTCCCACACCAAGAATTTGAAATATATCGTGATACAAAGTTAAGCTAGAAAGAGAGAACATATAGACACAAGACAAGTATCTGTGCAAATAAATTACTCTAGAGTACTATATCCAAGTGTCTGAGTCACGATCCTTTAGAAAAGATGGAACAATATCTTTAAAAGCAAAGATGTCGTTACTACAATCTACTTATGCACCGTACAACTAATTTATTCTCAAAAGTGTATGGGGTCCTCAGATCCTCAAGATTAAACTGGTTAACAATTATAAAAAAATCAAAGAAATGCTAATTCTTATTTTTTTTAATAAGCTAATGCTAACAACTATATAAATATGCTGAAAATTTAATGCAAACGATCTGCAAAAAAGTTTGTCTAGAATTTTACATACCTCAAACAAAATAAATAAGTAAGTCCAATCACATGATTAGAAAATGTCTAAGATCCATTGATGCAATTTCTATTACCACTAAGAGAATAAAATATGGGCGAACATGGCATTTCTTTATATCATCTGAGCATTATCTTAGAGTAGGTGCTTGGCAATAAACTTATTTTTATTTACTCATCAAATTGTTGTTGCTCATGACCTAATACATACCTCTGTCATCGAAGTCATCTGACTTCTTTAAACTGATGACTTTCTTAAACTTCTCTTTGATGAATAATCATTGTATAACAAATCAACAAATAAAAACAATTTAGATTTCAAAAAATACCGCAGAAGATGTAATCAAATAAAATTGTCCTTCTAGATATAGTCAGCTCAAAATAATGCTTAATCTTGACCTACCGATCAGAAGTTAATCATATGGAATCTGAATGCTTGATAAACCAAGTAACTTCAACAACTCTTTTGCGTTACTCTGTCCGCAAGAGCACCGCATGTTTGAAACGGACTCAGTCCAGGTAATATATTTTCTTTCTCAAATTTTTGGTTTGTCCTTGGCATCAACATGTGACACATATTCAATTTGCAATTTATGAACAAAGAAAATAAACAGTTACCAAATAACTCCATATTAATCATGCTAAACCATCCTTTCTCTGTTTGTACTCAATCTTAGTGCATAAATTCACAGAACAAAAGTATCACATGGAAATAGTGCAGTGTGGTATAGAGTAATTGTGTTGTAATTCACAAATAAAACGTAATTCCTCTATCTCAATTTATGTGTTATATTTCTTTTTAGTCCGTCCCAAAAAGAATGTCATACTTCTTTATGTAGAAACAATTTAACTTTAAATTAAAGCACAAAAGCAAGCACACCCAACAAACTACGTGCAGAGATTTAGACCTTAGACCTTATCATCATAAAGATAAACATAATACGTGGAGAACAACATATTGAGGGATCGAAGAAAGACTATCAAGATAGATAATTCATAACCTTTCTGAAAGTGATGGATGAGGAGCGTCGAGTCTTCCATAACCATGGCAAGTAAATATTTATCTATCTTTTGAGTACAAACCTGTTTCAATAAGGTAAATTCAAAGTGGGAACAAAGCTTGAACATTCTCTGCAAAGTCAGAAATTGAAAAGAAGATAGATAAAGGAGAAATGAAATTAAACGATTACCATTATACTCATTTATAAAATAAGTTAGATGAATTATGATGGTTGAAGAGGATATGTGTTTTAAGTTTAACACAACGTTAACATATTTTCTAATTCTTGCTCTGCTTCAATAGTTATTAAATTTGATAAAAAAACCAAATAAGGACAAAGCAACGCGATACAGTGATCTTCCTATAATTATTAATTAATGTAAAGTCTTCCCACAATACGAGAAAAATACATTATGTTTTTCGGTTCATCTAAATAAATAGAGAAAAACGGGAGAAATGAGAAGGTGTTATCACCACCATTATAAAAAAAGGAAAGAAACATAGACTAATAGGCTATATTTAATTTTTTGAGATATGAATGAATTTTGTGGCAGAGATATAAAGTTCTTCTAGATTGTTCTTTTCCAGTGAAAGAAAACATGATGTAAATTGCAAGTGATTAACTCCTCGAGATGGAGAGACCATAAGGATAAAAAAATTTATGCCAAACAGAGTACATTGCTTTTGAACCCACAAACTGTGTAGCCATGATCTATCAAAGCTCAAGCTTCAAAAAGGGATAATCTTGAAGTTTAATGTAAAAGTAATTTCTTTTAATAAATTCATCAAACACTTGTTGCACAAAAAGTTTTACCTAAAAATATAATAAAACCCAATTAAAACTAACTCAAAGTTCAGGTAGCAGCACCCTCATGCCCCATATTAAACCCAATTCCATTAGTAGTGTTAGGCAAAAAGAAAAAGCAAGAAAATCAAATAAAAAGAAACTTAAATCAAATTTAACTGCAAAATTTAACCCAATCGCTTAGACCACAAATTAAAGCAGAAGTATTATATTGATAGAGTCTGCATATGAAGACAAAAATTAAACATGAGATACAAAGAAGAAACAAAATGCACAAAAGAAAATCCAAATAAATAACAGCAATAATAACCTGAACCTTGTAACACCCAAAGTAGAAGATTCATAAATGTTGATACTTCAAGCAAGAAGCTGATAAAATAGGAAAAAATCCATTGAAAAAAAGTAACGAACAGAAGATTAAAAGAAAGTGGAGGAGGAATTGAAAAGAAGTGGAAGAAGATTTAAGCAAAAATTGTGCTAAAACCCCAAGCCGAGAAGATGAAGGGAAAGTGAGAGAGTTAAAGAAGAAGATGAAAGTGTGAATGGTTCTAGAATATGTGACAGCGTATGAAAAAAAAATAACAGAGTAAAATAACAATTCTACCGTTGATTGACCAAGCATGGCTTTTCTAGATGATAGAATAACACGACATTGTTGTTGAGCCAAAAAAGTGCACATTTTGGGATAAAAATACCGAGTCAAAAGCCGTAGAATGAGGGCAGAATTATAATATATGAACTGTTGCAGGTCCAATATGTGAATCCGGTCCAATATAATTTCAATTAATTTAGTTGATTAATATAAAACTCAATTTTTGGGTTAAACTCTTTTTCGCCCTCAAAATAAAATGTATTTATTAAATAAATTCAAGAAAAATATTTTGTCACGTGACCCCTTCAATTAGTGAAAAAGGGTGGTGATAAAATATACTATACTATATGTAGTATGTACTATAATTATTGTAAGAAAATGCAGTCGTGATATGTATTGAAAAATCACCAGAGCTTTCCTATTGGAGCTAATCCGGACCCATTACAAGAAGATAATTGGTATTTAGCTAAATAAAGTGTAACAACTGGTAGATAGGGATGTGCATTCGAAATGGGGTTTTATTTAGTTCATTAATTTCTAAGCAATTTGAAATGATTCTTCATTTAAAAAAAGAATAATTTAAGCTTGCACTCATCATATTTAATATCAAACAAAGTCCCAAATTTCTAATATGAGAGTAGATCTTTTTCAACAATCCCTCAATCTTTTAGAGTTTAGAATCGCTGAATTTATTAGTCAAAGTCTAATGACTAGAAATGAGTGAAGATGACTATATAAAAATCCAAAATGGAAATGTTTTTTCAACCTATAATTCCTCTAGTTTAGGAACTCCCAAATATAGTACAGTAAAAATTTTGAAGTTAGTACGTGCATATTGACTCACACAAATATTTATGTACACAGCGTTAAATCAGGATTAGGAGGTACGATGTAGTCAACATTTACTAATTCCTTAACTACTTTGAGAATTTATAGCACCAGTAAAGATAATAATCTTATTTCTTTTAGTTGGCAAAATATCTTAAATAGTAGTTTTCATTATAAAAACCTACAACATTATTTTGATAGTGCTCTCACTTTTCCTATATCAACAAAAATCATGGCTGAAAATCCTAATTTGGCAGAAGCAGTAGTAGTGGCTATTCCTGAAGTTAAAAATGAAGTGAAATTAGAATTTGATGAACCTAAAATGAAAGAAGCTAAGAGTAAACTACAAATGAATCATCATATTGTGCTTCCATTGGTTATATTTTCTTTCTTTTTATCTCTTCCAATTCTTTTTGGTATCATATGGCTATTTTACGTACGACAATATGATTGTGAAGTGTTAATGAACTTGCCAAAGTTACAAATAGGTATTGCCATTGGTTTGATCATTGTCTTCTTCATCAGCAACGTCGTAGTTTATTTTAGGTCTCGTTTTCCAGTTCTTGGACTTCTTTTAGCTATGGTGCCACTTATCATTATGTTCATCGTTGGTCTTGGCCTCGTCGGATCGTATAAAATGGAGGCTCGAGGTGTTCCTGGTTCTCCAGCATGGCTAAAGATGACAGTGCATGACGACGAGACATGGAATAATATCAAATCTTGCATATACTCTACAAAGACTTGCAACAATTTAATCTCCAGGACATATATGCTGAAATCTTATGATTTCACAAGTATCAAGTTGTCCTCAATTGAGGTAATATTCACTATATTTGCAGCCTATATATACTCGCTTAATGACATTTATTTGGTTATGTTATTATAAAGACCTTTAAACATAATAGGATTTTATATATTGTACCATGAAACTAAGAATTACAAAACAATAGTATATATAAGACGTTGTAGCTTGAAACCATATAAACGATTTGTAGCTGCATACAAATAGGCCGGGACGAGTAGGCAGGTACGATGAAAGGATGACACATGGTTGTACTGGTTAGCTTTGGGCTAGAGAATGACGATTGACTTATGGTGAAGTACCCTCTGATGGATTCGCTCTTCTATTGCCACCTATTCTAAGGGAGTGATCGAGATTAAGTTAAAAAAGTACTATTCGCTCTTTGGGTGGGCCGTTCGTACTCAAATCCGCACGGAAAAAGGACAACTATTTGACACACTAAAAATATAGTGAATAGGATTCCATATTTGCGAGGGGAAAATTTTTCTTCACCTATTTAGCTTACTATATGTTGAATGTTATACTAGTAGTTATTACTAACATACTTATTTTTACATAATTTCTTGAAGTCTGGGTGCTGCAGTCCACCATCACTTTGCGAGATGGAATTCATAAACGCAACATTTTGGAGGAAAGTAAATTCACCAATTGATGATTCTGCAACATTCGACAAAGACTGTGATTTGTGGCAAAATGAAGAAACAGTGTTATGCTACAATTGTCATGCTTGTAAGGAAGGATACTTAAGAATAATAGAGGGGAAATGGTCAAGACTTGGAACATTCCTTGTTACCATGTCTTTGTTACTTATGATCTCACATTTGTTTCTCTTTATGGCCACCATGTGGGAAAAATATGTAGGGTAAGAATTAAATGAGTTGTAATTAAGTATTTCTCAGTATTTTTATTACTAAGGTTTCAGCATTATATATATATATATATATATATATATATATATATATATATATATATATATATATATATATATATATATATATATATATATATATATATCTTAGTTGAGGACTGTGTTGTTCAATAACCAGAGAAAAGGGCACTTTCCACACGGAAAATAGTAGGTATCCTTTTATAGAAGTAGTCCTAATAAAAGATCCTTGTAAATTTGTAATATGTTTTCAAGTCCAAGATTTATTCAGAAGAGACAACAAAATTCAGAAGCTATTGTCGCGCCCCCTTTTTTCTAGCGGAGTCTGGGTTTCGATACTCATTGGGAACAACGCGTTTCCTTTTGGGAATTGGGTATTTGAAGAGTCACCACCTAACGGATTAAGGTGCGTTAGGGCACCTAGAGCAATTAACTCATATAACTAGTTTGCATTACGAGAGATTAGAGTAAGGGCTCGAAATAACCTTGAGGGAAAGGTGTGAGGCACCCCTCGCGGTCCACAACGGTGGGTTCCGGCCGAACTCAATTATGTGAATTAGTCATTTAACAGGTAAGCAGTCTAAGCACACATTTGCAAATAAAGGAAGTTTAGACAGTCTAAGCACACGTATGTAAATTAAGGAAGGGAAGTCCTAAGTTGGTTAGCCTATAGGATCACATCTGTACAATACCCGGTAAGCCTTCCTCAAATAGAGGGGATACACGTGGCATTAGCGCACAGGTCATCATATCCTTTTACTACCAATTACCCTCCCCTTAGTGGTTATATAAGCGAGTTTAATTAACGAACTCTAAGCGTGCTTTACCCATCCCTTCATTGTGGTCCTGGAGGTGTTTTAGGACCTCTAAATTTAGGCAGTACTAGACCCTCCTAAGGTGTTTAAAAAGGTAAAATCTAAGCGACCACAAATAACATATAGGACTGTCAAATAGGGAAGCAATTAAGGGGCTCATGCAAGCTTACCACCACGCATAAACAAATAAGTAGCGCGTCTCAAACAGCTGATTTTAAAGAATTTCAGAAGGCCCTAGAACATGATATCTAGATGAGCATCACAAACACAGAATATGCAGCATTTGTTTTAAGGCGAAGTGACAGAATCCTAATCAGTTTGCCAACCAATTTTAAAGCCTGTTAAACCTGGACAATTTCACACATAAACAGAGCATATTTTCACAGTTTTATAAGACCATTGATTACCTAAGGGCTTGCCTAGGTGTGGGTCTGTATGCAATCATAATTCTGGGAACTAATTAAGACAACTTGAAGTTATTCAGTCTTATAGGCATGCTGATCTAGGCGATTAATGTTACAAAAAGAAAAGCTGATTTCATGCATATTTATACTAGAACATGATATCTATGTGTTGGGGCCGTCTTTAAACCTATTTATAGACAGTTATTCGTTTAAGCGACGTACATACGATTTAAAGCAAATGCAAACAAAGTTCTAAGGCAGGATTTCTAATGCACAGAGAGAGATGGTCATTTTATTAAGCATGATTACAGCAGTAGTTTAATGACAAGATTTCCAGGTGATAACAACTTATGCAGAATCAGAAAAAGAAGTGATGAATTATAACATGTTTTCTAATATGCAGAGGTAGTAAACGTGAGTATCCTAGGGCAGGATTTCTAATGGAAACAACACAGACCTAAAGCATGATTCCTATTGCAGATAAGCACAACATAATCCTAAAGCATGATTTCTATTGCAAATCATCCTAATATAAACCTAAAGCAAGATTTCTACTCGGTTTCCCCATAAAAATCATATAGGAACCCTTCATTTTTACTAATTACCCCAATATCTATTTACAAAGAATATTATTATAGACCAGGATCAAAGGAATGACATAAATAAATGTAAACTATACTATAGGGAGCCTGAATTAGGCCTAAAGTAAACCTAGGGATGCCAAGCCTCCAAAAGCAGTCTCAGATGCCAAGAATCTCATAGCCAATAGTGGTCCTGGTATGTCAGAGTTCCCTAAGGACCTCAAGGATCCCGGGCAGTGCTCACACCAAGACCTTTCTCAAATAGAGGATTGGTTATGTGCAGTGTGGAAGGGCCAGCCCTGGTGTGCCAGAGTTCAGAGGAATCTCAAGGATCCCTAAGTAGTACACACACTAGAGGGGCAGAACCTAATAGTCTAAGAGTAAAGAGAGAGTGCTTGACATAGTTTTGAAAGACTTAGTAAAACAGTGTAGAGATAAACTTTGAGGAGTGAAGAGATTTTCAGGAGTAGAGACAGTTTTAAAGAACTACTAAGAGTGGAAAAATAGTTTTGAAATCAATTGAGAAGAGCAAGTATTCAACATACAATCATGCAGACTCAGAAAGCCCAGAATTACAACCACTTAATAGGCAGGTTTACACACAGGGATGAAGGCGGTTGGGAATACATAGAGTTTACATTAAGGAGCACATGAACAGGGTACAGGAGAGGCATATAGACAACAAATGCCAGAACACTTAGGAGTCTTAGAGACTTAACAGGTTAGCCATGATAATAGGCAGTTAAGACAAAGGGTAAGGATGTAGCAAAATCATGTTGAAGACAAGGGTGTATTGGACAGAATTGTAGATACAATTAAGGCCAATCGAATGTATTAAGAGACTAAGTAACTAACATGATCACACCACTTAGGGGGGGGGGGGGGTAGGTAGACAGGGACTAAGTAAACATGGTGGACAAGTATCAAATGATGAAGTGAAGTTTAGACATGCTGATTACACATCGAACAAGAGAAGGCAGAATTTAGACATGCTGAATAATGCAGTAAACAGGGAAACAAATTGGATACATAGCCAATTGAACTATTGCAGGAATGGAACACATGGAGTTGAGTTTCAAAATTTAACTAGAGACATACCAGTTAAAGAAGAAAGTGCAGAATGTAAAGCAGGTGTAGTTCCAATGTCTAGCCTTGGCTTTCAGCCGGCTAGACCAATAGTTATCACAAGTAACAGAGAAAGAAGAGAAAGTTTGAGTGTGTGTGGGTGTGTTCTGAACATAGTGTTCATCTTGAGAAGAAAAAACAAGAGTGTATATATAGCAGTTTAAGAGTAGCACAAATAAGGTAAAGAATTAGAAATTAGTCAATTAAGGGCAATCATAGGCTTATAGAATCAATTAACATGAGGGAGTCTGGAATAGACCTTCCTTAATTAAGGGCAATTAGCCAAACGGTAAGATAGGGATTAATTAAGGCAAGGAGTTCAAACCAAATAAGGGAGTTCCGAATAGACTCCTTCATCAGACGGTAATACAGGGCCTAAGTAAAGAACCATAATCGTACTATGTAAAGAATCAACAAAGATCCACAATTATACAGACAATTAAATAAGACATGAATAACCAAATTAAGGTCATAAACAAGGAAACAATCAAGAGCAAATCAATCAGCCAGAATTTCAAAGTAATACTGATTTCTGGAAAGAAATATCAACTTCCACAAATAGAAAATAGGCTAAGTAAAACTTCATAAAAAGTACAGAAATTAGCCGGAAACGGATGCAAAACCTAATAGACATTAATTAGGGCAAAAACCACAGAATAATGGATTTGACAAAGAAAAATGTGTAAGTCAGAAAATACAGGGTGAATTAATACAGTTGGTAACACTGAAAGACTCAAAATCGAAGCGAAGGTCAGAAAATCAGAGTATCTCATGAAATCAACTAGGGTTTGAGTATCTTTTGCACAAATCAGTCAAGAAGACAAAAGGAGAATTGATTAAATATTTAGAAGTCAGAAAACCTTTGGAAAACAACTCGTAATGAATCCTAGTTTTAGGGAAAATCAAGAATAATCGATTAAAACCAGAAATTTTCAGAGAAAAACTTGTAATAGTGCTTGATTCATCTCAGATCTATACATATCTGGAAATGATCGAAGGTAATAGACTAGGATTTTTAGAAAACATAACAGAGATGAGAGCATGTGACGACTCGACCCGTCGTCTCATGAGAACCGCTCCATTTCCCCCATTTCCTGGTTCGTTATGCTTCATTATCAGTGTCTTGTGTGAACGAGTTGAATTGGGTTGACTTTTGGAAGGAAATGAGACACTTAGTCTCTTTAAGGAAGGCTTGTTTTGGAAAAGTCAACCAGATGTTGACCTATGAGTTAGAGGGCTCGGATGTGGATTCCGACGATTCGGTTAGATTTCGGGGGATGATTTGTGACTTAGGAGTGTGATCGGAAATGATTTTGGAGGTCCAGTGTAGAATTAGGCTTGAATTGGCGAAGTTAGTATTTTGGCGAATTCCGGTTGATAGGTGAGATTTTGATCCGAGGGTCAGAATGGAATTCCGAGAGTTGCTGTAGCTTTGTTAGGTGATTTGGGATGTGTGTGCAAAATTTCAGGTTATTCGGAGGTGATTTGGTTGGGTTTTTTATCAAATGCGTGTTTCGGAAGTTATAGAAGAACTTAGGCTTGAATCCGATGTAAGTTTGGTGTTTTGATGTTAGTTTTGGTGTTTGGAGAGTACAACTAAGTTTGAATGATCATATGTGACGTGTTAGTATGTTCGTATGCGGTCCCGAGGAGCTCGGGTGAGTTTCGGATAGGTTTGGGCTGCGTTGTGCTCGTTTTTCTTATGCTTCGACGTCGTTTCTTCAAGCATAAATGATATCATATTGAACAAATGAGCTCCGATTATTGTTTTGAATGAATAATTAGATCCGTATCATAATTACGGACCCGTAGCAAAAAGAATCGTCGAATTTGGACATCGTATGAGGATTTTATGGCCATTTTACCAAGGTTGCCCAGATTTTCAGGTTAATGACGAAATTGCCCCTGACGGCGTATTAAAAACCTGCACTATTTGCAAATATTAAAACCTACATCTCCTTCATTATAAGGTCAAATTGAGTGATTCAAAAGCCTAAATTCATTAGAATTTCACAAGGAATCCACTGGGAGCAGTAAAACGCGTGAACAGTATAC